AGAACATATATTCAATTGAGGTCTCCAATTGGAGTTGAGTCACCCGATTTTAACCGGGTCAACAATTTTGCAAAGCCCTCTCATTCAATATTTTTAAACTATAAACTGTGATTCCTAGGTTTAAAGAACCTCTATTCAATTGAGGTCTCCAATTGGAGTTGAGTCACCCGATTTTAACCGGGTCAACAATTTTGCAAAGCCCTCTCATTCAATAATTTTAAACTATAAATTGTGCTTCCTAGTTTTTAAGACCTCACAATTAGTCCGGGTCATTAATTTAGAATTTGGTCACCCTATTTTGACGAGATCAATGATTTCTCTAAACTCTCTCTTTTATATTATACACTATGTTTCCAAATTTTCAAGGCCTCACAATTAACTGAGGTCTTCAATTTAGAATTTGGTAACTCGATTTTGACTGGGTCAACAATTTCTCAAGGAGCTCTCCAATTTGATTATTTTAATTCACCATGTTCCTGAATTTTGAAACTCTTTGATTCAATTGAGGTATTCAATTTTAAATTTGAGTATTAAATTACATATGTTGAATAAAAAGGTAAACTAGCACATTAATCATAATCTACAAAAGTAATCTCAAAGCAACGCCCTGCCAAAACGAGCTGAACTTAATCAAAAGGACAAGATACATAAAATAAAACATGCATCGCTTATTTTTGTCCATCGGGTCAAATATCACGAACACCACCTGCAAACATCAATGTAGAATTGGACTAAGGGACTGAGGAGTCGCCGGGGACGCCTGGGTTTACGGTGTCGCGGAGGGTGTGTGCGTGCGAGAACAAAGACACTGCCACTCTGTATTAATAGTGCGTTTACTGTACCTGGATGGGTATCTAGCAATAGTGACCACTTGCGTTGGATTGGGATCGGGATTCCCTTTGACTAGGAGAGCTCTGAGAGGAACCGCACCGTCACTTTGGGCCATACATTTTCTGATGAAGAACATATGAACTGTCTGGTAGAGTAGAATTTTATTTGTGATGAAGCAACCTCATACAGTAAATAATTTCTCTGAAAGTTCTAGTCCAAATGTACTTCTCTTTGCTCCGCTCCAAGGGGTAGAACATGAGCGTCTCAAAATTCCTTGTTTTCACTAATTTACAAGTCTTGTGCCACGCGAGAAAGAAAAGGAGCAGCTTCCGATGGCATGAATTCCATTGCTCCATTAATTTTGAGAGGTGCAGAATGACGCTGATTGGAGGGTGTTGGGTTAAGAACAACAGGAGCGGAGAAATTGGGTAAATCTTCACAAGATACGCAATAACAATAGCGGCAGTGAGAACCCAACGGATTGCTTGGTAGCTAGGCAATGCAAAACGTTGTACTTCGTAGGGTTCTCTAGTATGCTATACTCATCTTCCAGCGGTGAGACAATTGCCGCAATCTGATAGAAAGGCTTCGGCGATGTAGCACAAGTAGCGAGTTGGTTGTCCCGGCTAATGAAAGATGAAACGAAGGCAATTCCTTCTTTTTCTTTGTTTTCCTCCAATATCTCAATGCTCACCAGTACATTGAACAAAAGAGGGAAATATATGTAAGCGCAGCATTGCACAATGGCAAGGACTATCTCTCTCTCGATCTACATGTAATGCAAGTTCCTCAAAACGTACATATATATAGGATGGGGTGTCATTCTAGAAGTGTGAGTTTAGCATTCATTCATGTAGTATGTTCTTTGGGTGGTCACTGAGAAAATGCGAATATAAACTTCAGTTGAAAACTAACAAATGTTATATGTGGTTGGTGTTAGTTGTGATGTAGCAAGAAATGCATGTGAAAATGCGTGATGAAACACATGTAGTCATAAAACTTGAATCACACTTCAATCAAACCTTTACTTTCTGAGTTGTACTCTTCTGCTGTAATATAATTATAGTTCTAGTGGTGCATCTTAAGATCATACTGTAAGTCTATCAGTACTCGTGCAGTGCCGATTATTCTATTTAAAATTTGAGAAAAAAATGATTAGCAACTTTCTTAAGAAATGTTGACAAATTTAG